AAAATTCTTTCGGAAAAATGGCTTTCTATATTATTTTTAGTATTTAAACATGTTTTTGCCAAATTTTTAATTATTCTCTTGATTTTCAACGATTTTACGTGAATTACAAACGTCGAATTATTGTTCTTCTAAATCTATTATTAAATTTTTAAATATAATTGATAATAGCATCTAGCATATAATTCTATGAGAGTTACAAACATATAACTCAATCTGTAAGAAAGATGATCTATTTCACCAGTTATATCTTCAACCAATTTTTCCTTTCTGTCAAAGCGATGCGAGAAATATTGAAACAGTATATCTTTCTCATATAGGCTTTCGCAAAATAGACGGGGCTTACGTAAATTTTAGTACGAAATTGAAAATAGACGGAAATTGATTCACCGTCCGGCACAGCGAATAGAAAATAGTAACAGAATGTAAGAGAGATAGATCGATGTGAAAATAGGTAAAGCGAGAATTCCTCCAGTTAGCCGGATGGCATACCAGAGGTAATTGCATTTTTCGACGTAGCATTTAATTGTACAAGATATCTCTTGTTGAATTTTATCTTTGCCATTAACCTGATACTCTTTCCCTCTCTCTTGAACGAAATTACTAAAATACGATAACTGAAACACTGTTATCTTGGTGCGTGAGACGTGCACGTGCGATAATGGTCGATGATTTATTTTCGATGAGCTCAATGAGGAGGCAGTTCTATTTAGCGAGGCTGGATGAGAAAATTCGATAATGCTTATGATACCATAATCCTGCCACTAAAATCGCGATGGTTATCATGGCGACTGTATAACAATATGTGTTTATCTAAATGTGCATTTCAAATTATGTGCATTTCAAATTATGATTAATATTTATCTTTCGATCACACAAGTCCTTTGCAAAGTTATAAAAAGTTCTTATTAAATTTTTGAAAGATAGTTTTGTTTATTGAGAGGCTTAATAAACATTCTCTTATATATTTCTAAGATATATGTGAAAATATTATTTGAATAATACTTGTTTGATGATATATATATTTGATAGAATTGATAGAAATATAAAAATTGATTTTGATATATAGCTAATGCTGATCAAATGTATCTTCTGACCTCGCGTTTCTTTGCCGAATGATTTTTGCATTCTACGTTTTCGATTAGAATAATTGAGTGTGTGAGCAAATCTATCGAGGATGTCGATACTCCAGATCGGCTTATCTATCTTTCGGATTGAGAATACCTCGGGGAAATACGTCTAGTACGCGCCAGGTTACTCTCGTTTCTACTTTCTCAAAAGCGTTATCTTTTACGAATATTAATAATTATATTAAAGTTGTCTAGGAAACAATGCGTATAAGCGGTGCATATTACAGAAAAGAAATTGCAGTTATTAAAGAAGGAGCACGGTAACTTTACTGAGATTTAATTACCGTATTCGCGTTCCAAGCTTACTCGTAAAATGACCAGCGAAAGTGAGACTTTATCTCGTCGTAAAATTACCGTCGTGTAGTGACGAATGTATATAACGGGGATAATTAAAAAACGTTCTACAAATTCTCACGATAATTTCTAGTATAATTTAATGCCCGGCTTTATAGAAACGAGCAAATTCGCGTCGAGGCTGGCAAAGTGCATTTTCGCGTACGTCGCAACCGCATTTCGTGTGCAATGCACCATATCACACGGTGCCGGTCGCGCCATAAAAGTAACGTGTCCGTTAAGACTTAATAAAAGAGGATTTCGTCGAAATGCGATCGAGGCGGAAGAAGGGGTTAACGGCGACTGCAGCGGGCCTTTCCCGGCCTTGCCAGGGCTAAATCCAACTACGGAAAATCTTCTCTTTCTCTTTCACGAAGCACGCGTGCGGCATTGGTTTCCCTCGGTGTACATACGCGGTCGGATAACCGCGGATTTGGACCGCGGATGCGAATTCTATACACGATCGTCTCTCATTGGCGCATGAATTATTGATATCGTTGATCTATATAATGTTTCATCGGGATGTGTCTTTTGTACGGTGCGGTGAATTCCCATTCGCTCCGCCAACTGTTTCGAATGCCATCGAATTTTCGCGAGTAAGCCCCGATCAGATCGCATCGACGAGGTAAAGCAGAGGGTGTATCCATGTGTCGTGCAAAGGCAACACACAATCGCTCGAGCCCTCGTGGAATTCTCTCTACTGTGCCTGTGCCGCGAAACAAGAACTTCACGCATACCGCTTACTTTGGGGAATCCGTGTAGATACCAACTACCGGAAATACCTCACACATACTCTATCAAATCCAAGTGCTGTAGACTGTTACATATCTGAGGTGGTCTCGCGCAGTTTGCTGTAACCGACGTGTGTGTTTTCGCTAATTCGAAACATTCTGCGATTAACGTGCCGATCAACTCAATCAGATCACACATCTCTTTCACGTAAATTCGATTCAATGGATACGTACATTTCAATTATTAAATTAGATTATCTTAATTTTCTTTTGATAATATGTAATTTTTATTGCGGTACGTTTTCTTTTATAAATTCATTTTTGCGAAGATATTTATATGTCTCTTTTATATCATATAGCTACATATATAGCTGCATAATTAATATCGGTGACGTGAAAAGAATATTTTCTAAAATATTTGAGATATCGAAAAATATTTCCAGATCTACTTACAAATCTATTTTCCTTCATAAGCCGTTGACAGGTTTTCTTAGTCATTTCTAAATCATTTACGAACTTTATTTTTAGCAATTTTTAGCAAAAAGTTCTTTCTGATTGTTTTGATCTCGTTAAATTTAACATTTTTAAAGTGATCAGCTACATTGTATTAATAGTTCTTCAAATGGCAAACATGAATAACAAACTAAAAATGGGAAAAATGGTATTTTATTTAAATGTCAATAATAAAATATATTAAAGATGATAGATAGTTTTTATTTTATTTTTATATTTAATGATATTCACATTGCATAAATAAATCTCAGAATGAAACGGTCGCATTTAGAATTTTAGTGAGAATGCAGGTCAAAGAAATATGAATGTCCATTTGATACGTTTATTGGATACGCGATGATATGGGGTAGGAATACATGAAATGAATTTAGAAAACCGAAAGCATTATCTTAAGTAATAATTTACTGAATAATGCCAGCAAATATATCTCCTATAAAAATAATCTTGGACTGATTTGGCGACATTGTATATATACTGGAAAATGTAAGGGGCATATCAAGAGAACACGGGAAACGGAAGAAAAATGAAGAGCCCAAGTTATGTTTGATACATCCGCATCGGATGAAGCGTTTCCTATCGTTGGGAACCTACTAACAGGACGGACGAAGAGCGGAGACCAAGAGACAGATAAGCAGACGGAAACGGACGTATACAGGGAGTAAAGGGAGGCGAGATCGAGAAGCGTCTTTTTCTTTTTTTTTTCGCATCATCCCCCGCGCCTCGTCACCATTTCTGCACTCCGTTCAGCACCCTCTGACGAGTCGACCTCGCACCGCCAGTGTCAGTATCGACTGGGGTATCTCGTGGAGAGAACAAGGGTTGCGAGGGCAGAGGAAAGAGGGTTGCTGAACACACGGAGGAAAACGAGAAAGAGAGAGAAAGAGGGACGCTGAAATAGAAAGGGAGAGGATCCGGAGGATAGAAAGAGAAGAATATGGGGCGGCTCGCCGATTCTCGGCAAATCTCGTGTTCAGTGCCGTATGCGAATCCGCCTTTTACACTGACAATGAGATGCTGGGTTGAACACCTAACTTTTTGGCGTATAATCGTCTCATTAATCATTGTCTAAATCTTCCTGTCACTTTGATGAGTTACCGTCGACAATGGTGCCGCGACGAGAAGCATATCTGGAAATTTCATCCGTATGAGAGGGATGGGCGGATTAATATACATCATATCTACTTACCGCGTGCCTCGACTGCGAAGAACTTTATTTCATAATATTATGTTGACGTAAGGTTTATCGACTGATAGGACTCTGTTATCGTAATGCGCTTTTCAAAGACTTTTGTGTTAAGAGATTGAAGAAATCGTTTCACATTTTGCTTTAGAATATCAGCGCGTAAAAGCCAGTAATCGAGTACTGAAATCTGATCTTCGTACAGAACAATATGTACGAGTAGAAAGTACGAGTGGTTTACTTGTACGTTGAATTATTGTAGTTTCATGTAATATTTCATACTCGATCCATGTTGAAAACTATTAATTAATAACACGATCGATAATCTGAAATGTCTAAAATATCTCCAAAATGGCACAAGAAATATTTATCTAATAAAAAATAATTTTTTAAATAGTCAGGTTATATATAAATACATCCATATAAATAATATTAATATAATTATATATAAATTGAAGATATTCGTGCATTAAATGCGTTTGATGCAAAAATTGAATATTATGTACCGGTTTATATGATTTTACAAATTATGAAAATCTTTTATCATAAATATTAGAAATGTTTCTTTTTTCAAGGAGAATATTTTAGAATATTTTTGACAAAGAAAGCTTACTTATAATAGTTAAAATAACGAATTATATATTTTAGCTAAATTTTAATCAAAGCGGAGCACCTTGCGCATCGAAATTAAACTCCGGAGTCGGAAACGCTTGGAACGAGACAACAGTGAGCAAAGTTCGTTAACATGCCAAACAAGTTAACGGTCGCCTAAGCGGGCTGATTATAAGGGCGACGATATCGCACGGGTGTCGTGATTCGCACGAGTACATCGCGCGGTTACGCATCGTCAACGATCCTGCATTTATTCGTACGCCAAGGGGATGATAGCTGCACGAATGCGCGCATACATTCCTGTCGGCGCGTCACCGCCTCGAGGTTTCCACATGGTCTCGCGTTATATCGAGGGCGAGTCGTGCAACGTTCGGCGCATCTCGAGCGTTCTCGTAGCCGGTCCTGTCGGTGCTGCCACATGGCCGCACGTCGTGTTTTGCGGGCTTGGCGAGCTTTCAGGGGCGGCACCTGCGTGGTAGGATACTCTCGCTGGCTCTCGCTCGGCGTTAGGGTGTCAGGACGAGTGAGAAAGCGGGGTGGCGGCTCGGCTAGGTTCGGCCGACTTCGCAAGTCATCGCCGACGTCTCGCGTCGGGGCTTCCACATGGGTTGGTATTGGCTCCCGGGGCGCAGGATGGCTTGGTGCGGCGGGGCTCTAATCGGAGAGAGACTCTAACCGTGGTACGGAGAACGAGACGGCGTAGGGTGTAGGAGCGAGAGGGAGAACGCGGAACACGGTGGCGGATGCGAGAGGGTGTCCGACGCGCGGTAGCGAGAAGGAGAGAGTGCGGGGATGAGACGGAAATAGGGAGAGGGAAAGAGAGAGAGAGAGAGAGAGAGAGAAAGAGACAGGCACGGCTTTCGCCACAACACCCCCCGAAACGGGCAGAGCGTCAGTGCTAAGGTGGGTTGCTCGGTCGGAACATTGCCAGAGAGAGAGATACGTCCTGGGAGTGCCTGCCTGCCGCACTGACACGACTTCTTGGTGCAGGACTCGCAGCGGTGCAAGGATCGGAAAGAACGCGCGCACCGGGAAAAGTGACTGATCGAGTGGCAATGACACGTATGTACGCACTCGCGAACACAGGCACACGGGACTCGGGGGAAGCACGCATGCACGTAGGCGCGTAAGAAGGACCGAGGAGGGAGAGACCGAGGAAAAGACCGAGAAACGAGGGATAGTTCGGCAGCTGGGATCCGCCGGGAGCGCGAAACAGGCGGTAGCGGATCGCGAGTGGAAACAGCCAAGTGCCGTATGTCGGGTCAGGCGACAATCGCGGGAGAGGCGGTGGCGAACGAGAGCTCGAAACAACGGCCGGAATCATGAGAGAGGAGGTCGAGCGACCCTCGACGTTGATCGGAATGTTACATATGGCCGGCGCGGTGGCTTTCCGCTTAGTCGGATAGACGTGTATCGTCGACCGGAAGCAGGAACGAGGAAAGAAAGAAAGATAGATAGATAGATAGGTAAAGGGAGGGAAGGTGAAAGAGTCGGGAAGATATGCCAGAGGAGACGAAAGTCGGTAGGAGGTCAGCGTGGCTTCAGGGTGGCCAGTGGTAACGGTGGTGATGGTGGTGGTAGTAGTGGTGCAGTGGGTGCTCTCTAGGTGAATGATCGTCGTCGGCCTCGTGGAAGAGGCGGTCGCCGCTTATGCGGGCCGCCGCGTGTGCCGCATCGTCGCTCGCGAATAACTGGAATTTGCCGTCGAGGGCGGCAAGAAGAATCGGTGACGAGAGACGGTGGTGGCGGAAGAAGGGTGTCGTCGTCGCCGCCGCGCGCGATATCGGGGCGACCGATCGTACGTTAGTGGTAGTGACGTTGGCGGTGGTGGTAGTGGTGGTAGTTGGATCGCACAGGGTGGAACTACCGATCACCGGCGCAGCACCAGGAGATCGTAACAGTCCGCGGTCGTCGAGCTGGCGGCTGGCAGGGGCCGCTGGATTCCGCCGTGGGTTATGGCGAGCTGGCCCGCGTCGCGGGATACCCGTTTCGCGAGTATGACGAAGGGACGACCGAGGAGATCGCGCGCGAGCCCGATTGCGACGAGCGCGATGCCGATGATCGCCGTGACTACCGCGACTGCGACGACTGCCAGCGTAAGCCAGAGGATCGCGCCGCTGCCGAGAAACCCGACGAGGACGGCGATGACGACGACTACGACTACTGCTACGAGTACGACGAAGATGACGCCCGCGCCGAGCAAGATGCCGCTGCTGCTGACGACGATGTCGATGGTCCCGGCGACACTGACGACGATGCCGAAGATGGCAGTTGCGCTCGCCCCCGTTGTCGCTGCCCCCGGAAGTTCCTCGTTTCTCGGGCCATCGAAACCCTGGTAGCGGAGGCAACGGTCGCGCGTCTCCTCCTCAATCGTTAGAAGCAGTGCTGTTGTGCCGTCCGGATCTTCCTCCTCTCGGGGCTATTTATATCCGTCGGTGGTGCGTCTGGTGGGTGCTGGTGTGGTGGTGCGCCGTCTACCGATCCCTCGTGTTACAGGTCACTCCTGCCGGCCGGCCGGCCGTTCGCGTACCCGCAGTGCGGCGGTCGACCACCGGCTGACTACCGGAGGGCCGTTCGCCGGCTGACGGGCCGTTCGCGCGCCGCGACAACCTCGACAGTCGTTGTTGTTACGCGCGGGGGCGACGACGTACGCGACGGCGACGGTGACGAGGACGAGGACGGCGGCGCGGACCGGGACGAGGACGACGATTACGACCACAGCTACTACTACGACGACGATCACCACGACGACGACGACGACGACGACGTCGGGGATATGTGCGGGTGCGCTACGTCCACGCGGCGAGGACTCGGGACTGCTGCGGGTAAATCGGCACGGCGCGCCAAGTCCTCGTGTTCGGTGCATAGGACGCCCGGGATACGGTAGCTCGTCCTTCGGCGTTATTCCTCATCGACGCCCGCGGGCAATGTGCCCACCCGCCGGGATAGCAACGTGAGTACGCCTCTTCGCTATTGTTCGCCCACTCCCACGACTATGGAAATGGCCGGTTCTCGCCCGCGCGAGATCGCGTCACCTTTTTATTACGCGAGAGAACGTTGCGAGGGCGACGAGACGCTTTCCGTAATCGCTCGTCTTCAAATTTTCTCTCGCTTTCCTTCCAACGTATTTTTGCGGGTACTATCCTAACGACCGGCATTATTGTCACGTCGATGTCAAATTCATTATCGCTGGACAAGCGTGCACCGGACCTGATTATTGTGATTTTATTGACAAATCGATTCTTTAATATTCTTCTTTCGAAAAAAACAAAGAATTAAAAACATCTAAAAAATAAATTTAATTTTTTTTAGAATATTGATTAATATTTTGATATTTCTCGATTGTTTACATCGGCTTGTGATAAAAATGATGAAAACAATTTATACCGCTACGAAATAACATCAAGAATGGACAATATTCCACACATCGATTTAAATATCGAAGCTCCAAAAATATGATTATTTTTTTTAACTATTCAATATTTGAATTTTTAGAAGGTATTTTTTGTGACAGACGATCTCTTTTGTTTAGAAAATAATGTCAGTTCTAGTTTTAAAATGTGTACATACAATTTGGAGAAATTACATAACATATATTTTAGATTTAATGCATTACATACATATATATGTGAAATTAGGAAAATATACTTAAGCGCATCGCAAACAATTAAATACACATATTAATATTATAATCGCATGATATCGTTAATCATTTTCTATTACAAATAATATTGTAATAATGCGGAAATTAAATTATTACTCGATTTGCGAGCTTATGTTAATAAATTTGCGTAAATCTTAATCGCAAACTTTATTATTTCGAATCGATCACCGTTTCTTAAAATATTTCTTAAAAGTATCTGCTTTGAGATATTTATATTGTCTTTGCCGCGGACTATTTTTAGGCACGTTTAATTTTTGTAATGTAATATTCGCGAAATTTTAGAATTTCATGCTTAAAAGAACTAATAAGTAGATTTTTTTCTTATTACGCAGAAATATATTTCGCGCGCAATAGAAAAAATATAATTAGCTTTTAATATTTTTCATATCTTTAAAAAAAATCCTAAAAACTTTTTTATATTTTTTAGAACGGTTTTCGAAGTAACTTTTATAGGTTTTTTAATTGATTAAATGTATTAAAGATTGCAAATCGCATTATTCTAATCAATGTCTTTCAATCACGTTTTCATATGTATTTTCACCAAATAACTAAGACTTGTGCACGTCACATATTCTATGGAAAGAGACGTTGTAGTTAGGTAATAACTTAATTAGCAATTTAACGTTCCTCTGATTTCAATTGAAGTCGAGGACGGAAAAGTAGGGTGCCAGATGAGGATTCGTATGTTTCACTTATGAGTGACTCCGAATAACTCGCGCGAAAAAAAATGAACGATCGATCGATCGAGCTCGGCCCCTCTAGTTAAATACACGCCAAGGCTATTTCTTCGCGACGCCCGCGTCCTTACTTGAAGCGAAGGATAAATTGCCTCTTCCCCTGAACTTTTCTCCAGGAAAAGCCACCCGAAAGCTCCTACGGAGTCGTGCGAAAACGTCGGAGTGCTTTCAAGGGCCTGGGCGTAGTCCTCCTGCCACGCTTGTCTGACCTCTCTTTCCCTCTTTTACTTCCAGCGCGCTCGCTCGACTTTTACACTCGCGGTGATTTAGGATTTTTCCAAAACGGATCAATTGTTTGCATTTGCCTCTTTTACAATAAAAAATAATTCCTATTTTTAATTTTTATATTAATATTTCATCTATAATTATACAAAAATAAAAATTGAATGATATATTTTTCAACAAATTTAAATTCAAATTTCTCTTAGTAAAAACGTTGTAATTATTTATTAATATATTTTTTTTTAATATTAAAAATCTTTGGAAATTTAATTAAAAATTTTATTAAAGTAAATACAATATTAAATGAAAAATATCTTTTGTTATTTTTAATTAGTTTATAACAAAAGTTTATGATAAAAAGTCATTAAAAAAATTTATTTAAAAAATATGTATATATATATATATATATTTTTTTTTTCCTTTGATATTAAAAGAAATTAATCTTGGATTAATCTCGATTAATTAAATTTTCAAAATATTATCTATTTATTTTAAAACATTTTTTTTTGCATATATCATTCTGTATTAGAAATATAATTTAAAATAATTATTAAATTTAAAATAACTATTTAATTTAAAATAATTATTATTACATTCTTAACTTTGTAATTTTATTTTTTATATTATATTTATAATTTTTTAATAAGATTTAGTTTAAATTTATGTTTGTGATTATCATGATTATGTTTTTAGACGCTGAACAAAAAACATTATTGTAATTATAACGATATGAGACGATAATGATGTTATTGGATATTTAATCAAGTTGATTAAAGCCAATCACGCCACACAATGCGTGGCAATTTATTACATTTCATACACATAAAAGAATTCGAAATTTCACATATTATTATTTTCATAAACGCCGTTCTAATACTTTGATATAATGTTAATGTAAAACATAATACACACATATATTTTTATTTATGTCAAATTTTTATAGCTGTTAATATAAGCTTTTGCTTATTGAAAACATTTTCAATCATTTTTCGAAATAAAATATATAAATAATAATGTGTAAATTTTTTATTTTGAACAAATCATATTGTTATTTATCCGTTGTTTGATATATATATATGTGTGTGTGTGTGTGTGTGTGTGTGTGTGTGTGTGTGTGTGTGTGTGTGTGTGTGTATGTGTGTGTGTGTGTGTATGTACGTGTTTGCGAACGATAAATTGTGAAATTCATCAAAATTTTTCGTGCGAATATTATTCGATGGTTTTACACACAATCCGGTTGAGACCCGGTTTAAATTACGAGTGATTTGCTTTTAATCGGTATAACTAAAGAATTCTGAATTTGTAAAAAATTTAAACGGGCGATTTTATCATTTTCGAAAACGCAGTGTTTTGCAGTAAATTTATGTAACGTCCGTTATCCATCCAGCAATAGCAATGTATCCAATATTTTTCTCTCAAAGAGACGCGATGAGTTGTACGATATAACGTTTCATAAATTTTTATTTGATTATCCATACGTATTTGAGCTGCTCTCCTATTAACATTATACATTGGACGACATAGTAAATATTAAATTCTACTTCAACCGATTGATATTAATGTAATAGGAGAAAATAAAAGCATGTGATGGTACCTAATATTTGAATATTTTAAAAGTGAAATTATTCTTTATTAGAATCGTTGTTTTTATCTTTGAGTTATCAATAAAAATATGTATATATATATATATATATATATATATATATATATAACATATAGAAAAATATACTGATGCTTTTGAACGCATTGACGTTGACATTTACGTCACAATGCGCATAATAAAAGCGACAAGTTTAGGTAGCTGACACTCTAAATGATAAAATTCTGCTGTTTATATTCGTATCCTGTTTTTCTTTGCGATGAAAGGATAGCTTGCATTTCACAACGACATAGAAATAATGTAAAATGTTCAGTTTCTACGATCCTTCTTCTTTTCCGTCACTATCGTGTCATACAGAACATCACTTATCTAGATTGTAAACATGAAATGTTCGTAAAAGAAAATGACAGAAAAGTACAAAATTCTAATATCATTATTCTGATCTATCATAAAAATAATGAATAATTACAGTTAATGATATGATAGTCAAATTTACAATTCATTTTATTGAATATTAAATTATAAATGACATCTTTCGTATCTTATTATATATTGCTTGCTTTTAAATAAAACAATATATATAATTAAAGCTATGTTTATATCAAGATTCGAAATAAAGGAAAATTTCGGCAATTTAATTAGATTTGCACATGTCAAAAATTTCTTTTTATTTTACCGTAAAAGAAAAGGATTTGAGTTTTGTTTTATATATAAAGCTATGTAATATCTTTTAAGTAAAGTGTCTCGAAGATTAAGAGGAAAATTATTGAGATTTATTGATTATTAAATTTTTTTTGACAACTTTCCTCAATATACAAAAAGAATTTCATAGCACATACAGTGATCAAAATTTTAGATTTATATATCCTTGCATATTTTGTTCGCGTGTTCGATTTAAAAGGATTTAAAATGCGTTCTATCATAGTTCTTACGTGCGCAATAAATCTCTTTGCATTTATGTCATGAATTTTACTCTCTTTTACTTTATCTCTTTTATTTCTTTTATCTCATCTCGCCCTCTTTATGGTCACTTGCTGTACCCGCGATTAAAAAAAAACGATAATACGAAATATAATATGAGTAACTTGCGCATCATGTTGATGTGCAACTTTCTTTTCGCTTGATAATTTTGAAAAATGACCTTTGCTCAACAAAGGCGATAACTTGTATAAATGACGGCGAAAAATCGTTGGGTTCTCGTCGAAACTTCCGTATCGGAACTGCTGACGACAGCAGGACTATGACTTTTTTCGGCGAGTATCGCAGACATGAATGCGGGAAAGTTTTTATCTACGTGACGGTTCGACCGAGCCGTTTGGTCCTTACCGCGACATTTCCGGATAAAACGCGACACTTCCGGCATGTTGAATGAACTCAGGTTTCTATGAAAATGCGAACGAATGGTCGAAACCTGCTGGCGCGTCGTTATTTCCAGAAATGTCATTTAACATCATTTTATAACGATGCATCCGTTAACTGTTAAAATATCCCGTTAAGATTAGATGTAACACATTTTTTTCACACATGATTTTCGCCAAGACATTTTTCTCTAGGAAAAATAATTGACTTCGAATTAATCAAGCGATGACACGCTCCGTGTATGGAACCGTTGCAAGAAGCGTTGGCGAGAGAAAACTGTCATCGTCAGTCAATCGTCTCGTCTATAGTTTGCGGCGTGTGATTTAATAATCTGGTCTATATTGATATTATTCAAATTTATGATCTACCTG